TCCGCCCCCAGGCGGGGACCTCCTCCCCCAGAGGGCTAAGCACCCCGTAGCCTTCCTTCTCGATGACCCCCCAGCCACCTTTGCCCCATGACGAACCGCCCGAAGAACCTGGGACAGCCCCGGAAGATCACCCCCACCCACCGCAAGCTAGCCCCTCTCCACAATGACTTCACCACTGCCACCACCACCAGGCTGCCCGCCTTTGCAACCCTGCCCCCTTCAGAGGCGGGACACCTCCCTCTTCCCCCTTATGCCGCTCCGGCTTCTAGGGACCGGCAAACCCTCCCTCCCCCCCTGCCACTGGGGAGGCAGTTCCCCTGCTGACCCCAAATCAACCCGGTGGCCACCAGCTTCCGTCAACCTGCTTCCCACTCTAAAACACCCTGACCTCCAGGTAGTTCTGGCTTCCACCGTCCCTTCCCCCTAGCCTGCCAGGGAGCCTCCTGCCTCCTCCATCTCCAGGGGTCCCCTCAAATAGGTACTGAGCCCCTCAACCAGCCAGTCCTGCAGCTGGTCTCCCGCGACCCCCTGGGGCTTGCCCCCTCAGCCGGGTTAGAGCAGTCGGGCTTCTGCAGGAGCAGGGCAGGCCCTGTCTGGCAGGACAGACAGGCTTCCCACATCTGGCGGGGGAAGGAACCTCCCAGGCCTCACTCTCCCTCTACTCCGTGGGACCTCTCCCCCTGCTGCTGTGACGCACTCTGCCCAAAGCAATAGCTGGTGGGGCGGGTCTGTCCTGCCTCCCTGAGGGAAGGGACGGGCCTTAGTCACCCCACGGTGCTCAGGGAAGTGAAAAGCACAGCAACGTGGAGTCCTGTCCACCCAGGCTTGAATCCTGGCTTCCCCACCCACTCAGCTGGCGACCTTGTGCCTGCTGGAGCCTCATTTTCCACATCTTAAAAATAGGGAGAATTCGGGAACCAGGAGTTAGCGTAATGGCTATGTCGCTGGACTCCCATGTATGTAGTCGACCGTGGTTCGCATCCCGCCGGACCCGGTGGCTTAAAACTCACGCCGGGCGCGTGTGCGTGCGTGCCCAAGATCCCGAGAGGAGAATGGAGGAGAAGGGATTGCAGCGTGACCATCCCCCCTGGGGGGTGATTTCTCGCTTTCTATCTCTGTCTCTCTCTCTCTGTCTGGCGAGCGCACGCGCCCTATAGTGAAAAACCTCTCAAAAAAAAAAAAAAGGGAGAATTCCTGCTTTACACGGTGGCTGAGAAGATCAGGTACAATGCCTGCGGCCTTCGACATGACTCATACTGTTGCTGCCTGGTACCTGGTAAACAGGGCAGGAAGTGCACTGAGGCATTGTATGCCCAGCCTGCCCCCCCATTCCATGGATAAATTATCAAAGAGCAGGCCAATTTGGGGAATTCCACCTCCTCAAGGTCCACAGTCTCAGTCTAGGATACAATTGTGAACCAGGGCCTGGGGACCCCAGCAGTCAACTGGGCGAGCGTCACCCCTCAGAATGTACCCTCAGGCCACTTAGGAAGGGCCTGCCATGGCCGACTGCCTGGCCGGCCCTCTGGATCCCTCACAGCCTCCCACTCTGTCCCCTATGGGAAGCAACTCCAGGAAATCAGGATTCCAGATGCTTTCATTAAATCAGGGACTTAGGCTCAGGAGTCTGATGCCAGCACCCACCTTGGCCTTCAAAGACCACCCAGGACTCATTAAAACCCAGAGGGTGCAGGGGCCAGCAGGTGGCATGGTAGTTAAGGATGCTAGACTCCCACATGGCCAACTGTGATTCAAATCCCAGACCTGGTGGCTTGTTTTCTCACTTTCCCTCTCTCTCTCTCTCCTTCTCTAGTCAAATTAAAATACATAAAGTTAAATAAAATAATTCTTAAGAAAATACCCACAGGAACCAGCAGTTAGCGTAATGGCTATGTCACTGGACTCCCACATAGTCGACCGCGGTTCGCATCCCGGACCTGGTGGCTTAAAACTCACGCCGGGCGCATGTGCGTGCTTGCCCATGATCCCGAGAGGAGAATAGAGGAGAAGGGATTGCGGCATGACTATCCCCCCTGGGGGGTGATTTATTGCTTTCTGTCTCTATGTCTCTCTCTGTCTGTCTGGAGAGCACACGTGCCCTATAGCAAAAACCTCTCAAAAAAAAAAAAAAAAGGACCCACAAGGTGGACTAGCCCCATAGCACAGTAGTTAAGCACTATGTAGACAAAGCCAGATTTCACTGGGCCATCCAGAGTCAACCCTGGCAGCTCGCAGCAGGATACAGACAAGATGAACTATTGGAGGAAAAAATATCATGACATGAGTGGGCCCCGCTGGGGGTTCATTCATTCCCTCTCTGCCATGTGCCTTCCAGCATATTTCTAAAAAGGAAAGAAAAAACCAGGAGGGGTCCAGACAGTGGAAGAGCAGTCAAGCACAATTCTCTGCAAGGCTGATCCACACAGGAGGGTTCCGGGCTTGTGTCCAGAAACTTCCCTGAGTGCTCTGGGCACGTGCATGCCCATGACCCAGAGCCGCCTGAGGCTGGAGGGATGGTGGTATGAGGACCCTGTTGGGGATGCTGTGTCTCTCATTCGTGGAAGAAATAAATCAGTAAATAAAACAAGACAAAAAATAAACTGAGGAGGGATTATATCCCTGTCCTCATCAGCCTGAGGGCTCCCTGGAGGTCCTTGAGGATAGCTCCAGGACTGACCGTGACCCTGTGGCCATAACAGCCTCCTGGCCCCCATTAGCCACCTGTGGGCTTTATAAACTCATTATCTGAGTCAGCTCACCTTATGAAGACCTACGTGATCACAGTGGTGTGACCGCAGGCCAGACAACTCACCCCCATGAATCCCAACTTCCTACCCTGTAAAGTGGAGATGATAATCTTTGCCTTGCCTGTGTCCCAGGGTTGCAGGTAATAGCTGAGATAATGAATATAAAAATGCTGTGCAGACTGTAAACCCTGGTTCGGGGGAGGTAGGTCTGTGTTTACAGGTGAGGTCAGAAGCCACAGACAGACAAGTCAGGCCACCTGCCCAAGATCATGCCATAATTTCAGGATTAGGACTCAGCGACTTGGGCCCTTCGTTCAGTGTTTTGTTTTATGTTTTAACTATCAATTAAGAAATGAATACACTCTTGGGGTTGGCAGGTGGCATGGTGGTTGGGGGCACTGGACTTCCACATGGTCCACCGCAGTTCGAATGCTGGACCTGGCGGCTTGCTTTCTCACTTTCCTTCTCTCTCTCTCTCTGTCTCTCTCTCTCTGTCCCTCTCCATTCAAATTAAAAAGTGAATACACACTTATCCAAAAAATTCAAAATAAAGTAAAGCTAAAGTTTCAGCCTGACTGTCTCCATCATCCCAGTCTCTTCCTAAGAAACAGCAAGGGTTGGGGCTGGCAGGTGGCATGGTGGTTAAAGCAGCTGGACTCCCACATGGCTGGCCATGGTTCGAGTCCCAGACCTGGCAGCTTGCTTTCACACTTTCCTTCTCTCTTTCTGTCTCTCTCTAGTCAACCTCAAAAAACTAAAATAATGAAAATGAGTAAAATTAAATAATACTAAAAGGAAAGAAATAGCAAGGTTGTTGATTTGCAACAGCCTTCCAGCCCTTGTCCACGTTTGTATTCAAGCACGGATTTCATAAACATAAACTGAGCCCTTGTGTGGGCTGATGCTGGGACTCGGATACATGAATGGACAAAGCGAGTTCCGACCCCGTGGAAGCAGCATGCTAGTGAGGCAGACAGGCGATGAGCAGACAAATCGACAAGCTCACTTCAGAGGGTGATAGGTACGAGGGAGAAATAAAGCAAGATGCCATGACAGAGAATGGTGGGACAGACAGGGCAGCTAGGGAAGGCCTCTTTGAGGCGGCCACATTGGAGCTGAATGACACTCGATTCCCAAGAAAGCAGGTTGGGTCAAAGTCAGCGAAGATGGGGAACCAGCAGTTGGCGTAATGGCTATGTCGCTGGACTCCCACGTAGTCAACCGCGGTTCACGTCCCGGACCCGGTGGCTTAAAACTCACGCCGGGCGTGTGTGCGTGCGTGCCCAAGATCCCGAGAGGAGAATGGAGGAGAAGGGATTGCGGTGTGACCATCCCCCCTGGGGGGTGATTTCTCGCTTTCTGTCTCTATGTCTCTCTCTGTCTGTCTGGCGAGCGCACGCGCCCTACAGTGAAAATCTCTCAAAAAAA